AAGGAGGTCATCAACATTAGCGACCCAGGTCAAAATCTGACCCTGGGTTGCAACCGGTCGTTTGTATAAGAATGGGACATTATGTCCCATTTTTATTGAACAAGTATAATTTTTGGTTTAAAAAAATATATAATAAATATTAAAATTCATATTTTTTTCAATCTCTACAAATAGAGACAACACTTGATATATTTTAGAACAAAATTGCAATTTTTGGATAAATTAAAATAAAAAATATATTTAAGTTGGGTTGGGTTGAGAATAAAGATAAATTGGGTGGTAATATTCAGTTGTATAGGTGGATGAGAGAGAAATAATTTTTAATTAATAAGTTGAGTTAGATTGGATTGGGGATAATTATAGTCTTAATGCATCAGATATCCGATCTCGGGTGATTGTATATATATTTGATTGAGTTTTGATTGAGTTTTTTTGGTTAAGCATAGGTAATTTTGAAAAAAGTGGTTGTGTTAGGTTTTAATTAGATTTTGAATTTGTATTAAAATAATTTAAAATTAATGATTAAAATTGATTTGATGTAAAAATAGAAGACATGTGATTGAAAGTGATAGACAATTAAAATTATGTGAGTTGATGAATATTGAATTAAAACTGATATGATATGTAATGATGATTGATTAATATTATTTAATTATATTAATAATATTAAATAAATAAAATTAAAATTGAGTGAAATTTCAATTGGGATTGGATTCTTTTGGTTATGATTGGTATCCAATCACACCCAAAAATGTCTTGACAATGCTTTTCCTTTTACTCCCAAATTGATCAATCATGGAAGTGAAATTTGTAACATCATTTTCATTTATGCTTGAAAGGGCTTATCCATCACTTTATGCTTTTAGTGAGATGGGGAGAAGCCGTGGAAGAAATAGTTGTCTTCAATTATTTTTTTTATTTTTTTGAAAAACAAATTCTCTTTTTTTGGGGCCGGAGAGGAGTAGAGAATGGACTAATGGAGATAGGATATGAGATATGACCAGTGCATCCTTTTTTGACTGGAACTTTTTCCCAAATTATTTGTGCTATCTTTTTTTTTTTTTTGGGNTTTAACTCAGAGCTTGTTATTTAATTTTCTATTTTTACTAAATTTACGTGGTCATAACAAGATTTAGGACTTCACCCCCAGGTTGCGTGATTTAGTGCCAAAAAAATCGCCAAAAAGTTGAGAAAATTCTATCCTGGCCGTAAGGGCACTACCATCACTTTCTAATATCCAATGGAAAAATGACAAGTGACATTTCTATTAACTTTTAAAACATAAATATTGCTATTAGCACACTTTCTTTTGCTAAAGGCAAACTAATAATAATATTGATTCAAAAATGAATTATACCCTTACGGATATAAAACGGGATATAGAAATCCTGAAAAAACAAATAGATGATTTATCCGTTCAACAGCAGCCTATAGATTCTAAACAAGATTTAGAACCGATAGCAGCTAAAATAATCAATGATATTAAGCAAGAAATTGCTAAATGTTCTTGCAAAAAAGAAGTTTTTGAAAAACAGGAGATAACTCCTAATCAAGAAAATATACTTTTTCTTAAATATTCATATCCTAACGATTTTGTAGGAAATGAAGAATTAGGAAGTTCAGGAAATCCTAACGCCTTCAAATGGCCGAAAGATGCTTTGAAAAAATGAATTTCCAAGAAAAACTTGAGCGAAATCTTTGGAATCTAATTAATTTAGATTTGGATGAAGAACAAGCCATTCAGCTTGAACATACAATTCGTTTTTTAGAAATGAATGAAGAACAATGTAAATCAGATTTGGAATCAAATCCTGAAATGAAAAAATTATTAAAACTTGATGGAAATGAACATTTTTATCAAATTGAGGAAACTGAAACTGACACTCAGTCAGAATCAGAAATAAATTTCAATGATGAGGAAAAAATTCTAAAAGAAAATTTTAGAATGGAAAGGCCAGAATCATCTAGAGCAAGAGATGATCAAGATATGAATACTGATGAATTCGAAAGAAAACCATCAGTAACTCCTAGACCGCCTAGGTCATCTAACAACAATATCGGTATTCCTGGTATTGCTGGAGAAGTACAGACAGCCTCAATCCTAGATTTAGACTGTAAAAAACCTGAAACGATTAAAAAATTAATTGACAAATGGGGACTAGAAATGAGTCTTGTGATTAATCTTAATCCCAGTACTTTCAATACAGCACAACTTGTGCTAGCACTTGCTGAGCATAGAATGCTTGGAAATGCACAAAATTTTATAAAAAGAGTTCAATGGGATACTCAAAATGTAGACCCTGCAGTTATGCTTGAAAGCATTCTGAATAGTTTATACACTTTGTTTTTGGGCATTGATCGAGTATCAAATGCAGAAAATGAAAAACTTTTAGAACAATCTAAAGCTAAGGTAAGATTAAACAATCTAACTCTTTGTGATATTTGTTATATTGACGAATTCAATTGTGATTTCGAAAAGAACCTTTTCAAAATAGATTTTGGAGAACATCCTGAATACATAAGAATGTATTTAGCAAAAATTCCTATTGTAGGAAATGATGCTTCAAAGAAATATGAAGTAGCTGAAAATCTTATGCAGTATAGTTTCGGTTATGCCAAAAGACTTGTAAGAGAGGAAATTGAAAAAATTTGC